CCCCACCCTCGCCCCACCCTCGCATGCGCAGGAAACGCTCTGTCAGTTTTGGGAGGTTTTAAATATCCCCCCGATATTTTGGGGGTTTTTTTCGATTTTTGTGCACACGTGGGGACTGCCCCACATGTGCACAAATCTCTCCCTGCCCCCCACAAGGTATAGACAGGGGCTCTGGGGCAAGTGATGCTCTGTCATCTTGGTGCTTGGGGGGGTCAACAGTGGGAGGGCTTCTAATGTCCAGGCCCCACTGGTGGACCTCCTGATGGTACCTGGTATTTCTGGCCACTGTGTGATACAGTGTTGGACTGGATGGGCCTTTGGCCTGATCCAACATTGGCTTCTCTTATGTTCTTATCCTTTGTCCTACATGGGCCAACCAGATGTTTCTGGAAAATTCACAATCTGGGCAAAATCCTTCTCATTATTTGCTCCAAGCAGCTGGTATTCAGAGAGATGCTGATTCTGAACACAGGGGTTCCATTGAGCTACCCCACTTGCCCTCCATGAAATTGCCTCGTTTTTTGTAGAGCTGGAAGAATTGTTTGCTGTTGCTGCCAGTAACTGACTGGGAGGTAGATTTTAATCACCAGTTTAACTGATTGGATGGGGGGGGGCAATCTGGTTGGCCATTGTCAGTGAGTGCCAGACTGCATGAGGCTTGGTTTGATCCAGCAGCAAAATTGATGCCTGAAATTGCCACATCTACAGAGACAGTTCACATCTGGCATGACAGCAAGATTCTCCATTTTTATCTAATATGGGAACCTGCCTATAAGACCCTTGGGGTTATTGTCCTTCCCCACCAGCTGGTATTCAGAGGTACGCTGCCTTTGAACATGGGTATTTCATTGATCATGACCAACAGCCATCAGTAGATCTACCCTCCACAAATTTATCTAGTGTCCTATAAAAGCCAATTTATCTAATGTCCCTAAGCCAACTTATACCAACCAGTTCTAGAAGGCAAAGGAACCTCTTCACACCATTCAAGATTCTTCCATCTATCCTGAACCTACTCCCCATCAATCTAATTTAGCTACCCACTCAAGCGACTTTGGTTAGCCTGATCTCATCAGATCTCAAAGGCTAAGCAGAGTCCATATTTGGCTGGGAGACCACCCAGGAAGACCCTGCAGAGGAAGGCAATGGCCAACCACCTCTGGTTGCTAGGGTCACCATGCTACTTGATGGCACTTATATATGTAATGAGACTAAAGCAGCCTTGGTCACCCTGGCTGATGACCTGTGCTGGGACGGAGAGGTTGTGACTGTTGATTCTTCTGGACCTCTCAGCAGCTTTTGATACCATTGATCACAGAATCCTTCTGGACTGCCTTTCCAGGCTGGTAGTGAGAGGTGTTGCTTGTGGTGGTTACAGTCCCACACATGGAGGGTAGGTTTCAGCGTATGTTGCTGCTCAGCCCCTTGACCATTAGCCTGTGAGGTCCCACAAGGTTCCATCTTGTCCTCTCCACTCTTTGAACATCTACTTGAAACTGCTGGTTCAGGTTATCCAGGAATTTGGTCTGAGTTGTCACCAACATATGGATGACACATTTCTATCTTAGTGACCCCTGTTTGTATCTTGTTGGATTGACCAACATATGGATGACACATTTCTATCTCATGCTTCTGGCTCATCGTTGGGAGGCTGGGGCAACCCTGAACTAATGCCCGGGGGGCAGTTTTGGAGTGGATGTAGGCCTGACCCAGGATTTAAGGTGTCACCTGTTTGGGATGCAGCTACGCTCCCATTGAAGGAACAGGACTGTGGTCTGGGGGTGCCCTTGGACCCAGGCTTACTATGGATAAACTGGTGGCAGCTATGGCCAGGAGTGCCTTTAACTGGTTACCCAGCCACTGCTTTTCCTCTGCAAAAAAAGATTAGGCCACTGTGGCGTATGCCCCGGTTACATCTAGATTGGATTACTGCAATGCCTTCTGTGTGGCACTGCCCTTGAGAAGTAATCAGAACTGGTGCAGAATGTTACCGCCAGACAATTGTATGGACAATTCCACTCCAGTCATCTACACCGACTCTCAGTTTCTGGGCACAATTCAAAGGGTTGGTGCTGACCTTTAAAGCCCTACATGGTTTGGGGCCCACATACACGAAGGACCGCCTACTTCCTTGTGAACCTACCTGACCACCACAGTCACCTTCCAAGGCCCTGTTTTGGGTGCCCCTGACTTCTGATATTGGGCAGGTGGCAACCTGGGAGAAGGCCTTCTTGGTATTGGCACCAAAACTCTGAAACTGTGTCCCCAAGATTCATGTGTCCCCTTTTGTTAGTATCTTCCCCACAATGGGTCAAGGCTTTTTTGTTTCATTTGGCATTCCCTCAGTGATCCCTCTTTCTTGCCCAATTTTTATTGTTTCTATGTTTTTGTGTATTTTAACTCTCGGTTCATTTTAATGATATGTTTTTGTTGGTTTTAATTATTTTTAGATGGGATTTTACTATGTACGTCTTAATTTGTTAGCCGCCGCAGTAGCCTTTTATGAGGGCAGAAAGATGGGGTAAAAATTTTATAAAATAAAAATGCATAATGCACTGAACAGAAATGATAGAACTAGCTATAGATTGAGGAACTAATGAGAAACCCTGAGGAAAGAAAGCTCTTGCCAGAGCTATCGACTAATATTGTTAGAATATTTACAGCATATAGCCCCTGTTAGGAAAATGCAAATAACCGCTTTTCTGTCACAAAACTTTATTCAAAGGTTTACATACATGGCACCCAAAATATCAAGACTGAAGTGTGAGGCATTCTAGGTGTCAGCTGCGGTCACTGGTTCCTTTTGTGATTACTTGATCTTCCCAGGGAACAGTCCGCTGCTAACCGTTCTCTTCAAGGCCTCTTTGACTTCTTTGTTCCTCAGACTGTAGATGATGGGGTTCAGCATGGAAGTTACTACTGTATAGAAGAGGGCCAGCAACTTGTCACCCTCTGTGGAATAGCTGGATTTGGGCCTAAGATACGTGATGATGCCTGAACCATAAAACAAGGAGACCACAATGAGGTGTGAGGAGCATGTGGAGAAAGCTTTACGCCTGCCCTCGGCTGACGGCATCCTCAAAATAGAGCTGATGATGAATATGTAGGATGTGAGGATGAGAAGGAAAGGAGTAGTGATGAAAAGAACAGCCACCATATATACAGCAATGACATTCATTGAGGTATCACCACAAGCTAATGTCAGGAGAGGTGGAATATCACAGAAGAAATGGTTAATCCTATTCGGCCCACAGTAGGTCAGGCTAAAGACATAGTTGGTTTGGCCTAGTCCTACTATCACCCCCACTGACCATGAGGCCACTGAGAGTTGGGCACAGACCCCTCGATTCATTATGACAGTGTACCTCAGCGGGTTACAGATGGCCACGTAGCGGTCGTAGGCCATAGCAGCCAGAAGACAGCATTCTGTGATGCCAAAAAGGGTGAAGAAATACATCTGAGTAGCACAGCCCCAGATAGAGATCTTTCTGTTCTCCGACACCAGGCTCACTAGCATTTTGGGAACAATGGCTGTTGTATAGCATATCTCCAACAGAGACAGGTTCGTCAAGAAAAAGTACATGGGCGTATGAAGGACTGGGTTTAACTTGATCACGGCAGTGATGGTAGCATTCCCAGCAAGTGACACGGTGTACATGAAGAGCACCACCACAAAAAGGAATGTCTGCAAATGTGGCAACCCAGAGAAACCATCGAAAATGAATTCGCTCACCAGAGAAGAATGATTGGCCATGGCGGACAATACTTCATCTATAGGAAAAGAGAGACGGAGATGCTGACGTTAAGGTTACTCGGTCACAAATTTGCCATCTCTCTTTCTTCCTCTCTCTTCTCCACAGCCATAAAGGTCCTGGGACCAAACTGAAAAGTCTCCATCTGAGTGGTGGGGTTGTGGCCAAGACAGGGGGACCCACTCTAACAGAGAGTCTGTCCCTGCCATCTCTATGGTACAAGTGGTAGCTGCCAGCCCAGGTGCCATGTTCCATTTGACACATGTGTGCATCAATGACCTTGCACTGGGCCTTGGATACCCATGGGCTTTGGCTTAGGGCCGCCAACCTCCATGTGGTGGCCAAAGAGCTCACAGAATTACAACTGGTCTCCAGGTTACAGAGATCAGCTCCTCTGGAGAAAATGGCTGCTCTAGAAGGTGGACTCTATGGCATTATGCCTGGCTGAGGCCCCTTCCCTCCACCCACCATGCTCTCCCCAGCCGGCAGCAGTTTCTCAGAGTCCCAGGCCAAAGGCTTTGCCAATCCTGCCACCTGAGAGATGGTGCCAATGGAACCTGAACTTCCTACGTGAACATCATGCATTTGGATTGCTCTCTCTCTCTCGTGCGGTTTCTAGCCTGCCATTTCTCTAAATCTCCAAACAGCTTAGAGCAGGGATCCCCAACATTATTAGTATCTTCCCCACAGTGGTTGTTTTCTCCAGGCGAACTGGTCTCTGTCGCCTGGACATCAGTTGTAATACCAGGAGAACGTAAGGACATAAGAGACGCCAATGTTGGGTCAGGCCAAAGGCCCATCCGGTCCAACACGCTGTATCACACAGTGGCCAGAAATACCAGTGCCATCAGGAGGTCCACCAGTGGGGCCAGCACATTAGAAGCCCTCCCACTGTTGGTCCCCCCAAGCACCAAGATGACAGAGCATCACTTGCCCCAGAGTCCCTATCTATACCTTGTGGCTAATAGCCACTGATGGACCTCTGCTCCCTATGCTTATCTAATTCCCTTTTGAAGCCCTCCATGCTTCAAGGAGATCTCCATCCACCACCTGGAAGCTGGGTAACTATATAATGGTAACACAGTGAAAGCAGGTTTGATGCAAAATCACAGCACTAAGGCCGTTACACTGTGTAAAAAAAATTTTTAACTGGATATGTGAAGTCCTAAAGGTAATTTAATTCAGAATATAAACAACTAACATGGAATACATTGATACATGTTCAGTATGGTCCACATGGGACTCATTCAACAGCTTAACATTAGAATACAGCCCAACTCTCTTCCTATACAGTCCAAGGTCTTTTTAGGGGCTTAACATATTCAAATTGGTCCACACAGGACTCCTGAATACAATTCATTATTTTGAACAGCCAAGTCCTCTTCCCCGTACAGTCAAAGTCTTCTCTAAAGTAGTCAGTGGCCTGTACAGTCCAAGGTCTGTATTAGTGACTTAATATATTCATACATATTTTAATTGGTCCACACAGGACTCCTAAACACAATTCATTATTTTAGACAGCCAAGTCCTCTTCCTGTACAGCCAAAGTCTTCTCCCAGGTGGTCAGTGGTGGCGAATGCTCAGGTGCTCTTCGTTTCAGTACAAATTAAATTCAAATAAATTGAACTCACCCTGCCAAGTTCACAGAATAGGAAATGACTGTTGAGTTTAAAGGTAAAGGTAAAGGTTCCCTTGCTCGAAAGCCAGTCGAGTCCGACTCTAGGGTTGCGGTGCTCATCTCCGTTTCCAAGCTGAAGAGCCAGAGCTGTCCGAAGACGTTTCCGTGGTCATGTGGCCACCATGACTAAACACCAAGGCGCACGGAACTCTGTTACCTTCCTACCGAAGTGGTACCTATTTATCTACTTGCAATTTCTTGCTTTCGGACTGCTAGGTTGGCAGGAGCTGGAACTAGAGACGGGAGCTCACTCCGGCATGCGGCACCTGGGTCTCGATCTGCTGAACTACTGACCTTCCACAGCCTACAGTTCAGCGTCTTAACCACTTGAGCCACCGCAGCTCCACTGTTGAGTTTATCTGCATGCAATTTCTTTGCGAACGGTCACTTGCTTGAAGTCTTCTTTTATAGTTCTTTTGGAAGGTGGCCTGAAGAAAGGAAAATACTGACTACTTTAGAGGAGACTTTGGCTGTACAGGAAGAGGACTTGGCTGTTCAAAATAATGAATTGTATTTAGGAGTCCTGTGTGGACCAATTTGAATATGTTAAGCCCCTAAAAAGACCTTGGACTGTACAGGAAGAGAGTTGGGCTATATTCTAATGTTAAGCTGTTTAAGGAGTCCCATGTGGACCATACTGAATAGGTATGAATGTATTAAATGTTAGTTGTTTGTATTATAAATTTTGAATTAAATTATCTTTAGGACTTCACATGTCCAGTTTTTTTGTTTTTTTTTTAACACAGTGTAACAGCCTTAGTGCTGTGATTTTGTATCAAACTATCCGGAGGCCGGCAACGCTACAATCTAGTGAGCTTTGTATCAGAGTGTGGATCAGGACCCAAATTTCCCAGGTCTTAATCTGACGCTGTAATCACTACACTGCACCAGCCATGGGCCCTCCCAGCGTCAATGGTTCTTTTCTTGTTTTTAGATAACAAGCTGTGCATTCTACATTCCTTTTTGCATCAAATTCAACACAGAGAGAGAAAAGCTGGAATCTGCTTGCCCTGCGTGATCGCAAACCCGTGAACTGTCACAAAACTTGAGTCCTCCTGCAACGGGACCCAAAGTCAGTTCTAGTCTTCTGTTTCCAACCAGGGACAGCCAGAAAATTCTAGACAGCCCACAAACAGCACATTAAGAAGAACAAGAGAAGAGACTGGATTTGTACCCCACCCTTCACTGGGAGTCTCAGAGTGGCTTACAAACTCCTTTCCCTTCCCCTCCCCACAACAGACACCCAGTGTGGTAGGTGGGGCTGAGAGAGCCCTTTTGAGGACTGCCCTTGAGAGAACAGCTCTGAAGGAACTTATGATTGACCTAAGGTCACAACAGCAGCTGCAAGTGGAGGAGTGGGGAATCAAACCCAGTTCTCCCAGATTAGAGTCCGCCACTCTTAACCACTCTTTTGAATTATGGTGCTGGAGAAGACTCTTGAGAGTCCCTTGGACTGCAAGAAGATCAAATCAGTCAATCCTAAAAGAAATCAACCCTGACTGTTCCCTGGAAGGCCAGATAATGAAACTGAAGCACAAATCCTTTGGCCACCCAATGAGAAGGGAGCACTCACTGGAGAAGACCCTGATGCTGGGAAAGATCGAAGGTCAAAGAAGACTGGGACGGCAAAGGATGAGATGGTTAGACAGTGTCATAGATGCAACGAACATGAAATTGAGCCAACTTCAGAGGACGGCGGAGGACAGGAGTGCCTGGCAGGAGCTGGTCCATGTGGTCGCGAAGAGTCGGACTTGACTGTGCGACTGAACAACAACAACAACAACTCTTAACCACTACACCAAACTAAGGAAGTAGCCCTCCTCACCACCGTTTACCAGCATCTTCTAATCAGAGGTCTTCTGCCTCTGAACACAAAGGTTTCCATTTAGATATCTTGGCTCATAGCCCTTGGGAAAAAACTGTGTGTTATGAATTTTCCTGCTCCTTCTCGAACAATGGTCTACTGTTGGTACTGCCACCCCCCCACACAAACACATACCCACACCCACACTATTTGGATGGCAAATTTAAATTTGCAAATCAAGTTCTCCTGGTTGCATCAATTAATGCTTGCAGCCCTTGTGGGGAGGTGGCTCAGAGCCTTCGCAATCCCGGCTGGGATGCCAAAAACACTCTGTGCCAGCCTATGAACTTTGTCAGAGCATCCAAACCCTGCTGGAGAAGGGTGATCGGAGTTAGCTTCAAAGATGTTAAGCAGGCTGCTTTTTTCAGGCTGGAGGCGTTCCTCTCTTTGGGTTCAGAACCATCACTTCCCATTTCAGAGCTGCAGCCTTTTCTGAAAAATCCTAATCCATGCTCTAACCCCGGGGGGGGGGGTCCCCCAACCTCCTTGAGCCTGTGGGCACCTTTTGCATTCTGACACAGTGTGGTGGGTACAGCCACAGAATGACGGCTGCAGGAAGCGGAGCCGGTAAAAATGGTTGGCAGGTGCTAGGAAAGCTGTTGGCAGGTGCCACAGCACCTGCGGGCATCAAATTGGGACCTCCAACTCTAACCCACAACCAGTGTTCCCTCTAAGCTGAGTTAGTGTGAGCTCGCTCATAGTTTTTTAGCCTCCGGCTCACACATTTTTGTCTTAGCTCAGGAAGGACGGCTCCAGAACAAACTAATTTATGCAGTGGCCAAATCGCTCACTCACAACTTTAATGCCAGCAGCTCACAAAGTAGAATTTTTGCTCACACGACTCCACAGCTTAGAGAGAACATTACAGCCTCAGTAAACCTAAGAACAGTTTCCTCAGAAATGTGGAGGAATGAATGACTGGGTCTGTCACAAGTTCTCTCACAGAGCTGTTCTCTCAAGGGCGGTCCTCGAAAGAGCTCTCTCAGCCCCACCTACCTCACAGGGTGTCTGTTGTGAGGAGAGGAAGGAGACTGTAAGCCGCTCTGAGACTCCAAGTGAAGGGCGGGGTATGAATCCAATCTCCTCTTCTTTTTCTTCTCTTCTTAAAAGATCTTAATTTTCAGGTGTTAGGAAAGACCCTTCTCTGCCCAAGAGCCTCTCCCAGTCAGCTGGCAGTGCTGAAGACGAAGAGTTGGTTTTATACCCCACCCTTCACTACCCGAAGGAGTCTCGGGGCGGCTTGCAATCTCCTTTCCCTTCCTCTCCCCACAACAGGCACCCTGTGAGGTAGGTGGGGCCGAGAGAGTTTTGAGAGAGTTCTGTGACGGACCCAAAGTCACTCCACAGGCTTCATGTGGAAAAGGAGTGGGGAATCAAACCCTGTTCTCCAGATTAGAGTCCTGCCGCTCTCAAGCACTACACCAAACCGGATCTCTGAGAGCTAAAATGCAGCTTCACGTATAGACATCTCGTCTCTGTTTTACCACCAAACAAGAAATAGGCAGACTGACTCTTGGGGGGGAAATGCAAATATCTAAACTGAGAAACAGGTACTGAGACAAGGAGCTTTTTTCCAAAGGTCTGTGTAAGTTAGAATGCAGGTGACTCCACCCTGTTCCAAAAACACCACAGAACACCCATGCTTACCTGTGAGAACAGAACAGAACTGAGGAGAAGCTTCCAGGCTGAGCCAACAGACATCTTTCTACCATCCCACATTCCTCCTGAGGCCTCGTCAGTGGACCGACCCCTGCTTTTCCCAGAAGCCTTAGGATAGAACATGCCCCTGTGGGTGAGAAGGCCACACAGGAAATCTCCTCTTCTTTTTCTTCTCTTCTTAAAAGATCTTAATTTTCAGGTGTTAGGAAAGACCCTTCTCTGCCCAAGAGCCTCTCCCAGTCAGCTGGCAGTGTTGAAGACGAAGAGTTGGTTTTATACCCCATCCATCACTACCCGAAGGAGTCTCGGGGCGGCTTGCAATCTCCTTTCCCTTCCTCTCCCCACAACAGGCACCCTGTGAGGTAGGTGGGGCCGAGAGAGTTCTGAGAGAGTTCTGTGACGGACCCAAGGTCACTCCGCAGGCTTCATGTGGAAAAGGAGTGGGGAATCAAACCCTGTTCTCCAGATTAGAGTCCTGCCGCTGTCATGCACTACACCAAACCAGATCTCTGAGAGCTGAAATGCAGCTTCACGTAGAGACATCTCATCTCTGTTTTACCACCAAACAAGAAATAGGCAGACTGACTCTTGGTATTGAGACAAGGAGCTTTTTTCCAAAGGTCTGTGTAAGTTAGAAGGCAGATGACTCCACCCTGCTCCAAAAACACCACAGAACACCCACGCTTACCTGTGAGAACAGAACTGAGGAGAAGCTTCCAGGCTGAGCCAACAGACGTCTTTCTACCATCCCACATTCCTCCTGAGGCCTCGTCAGTGGACCGACCCCTGCTTTTCCCAGAAGCCTTAGGATAGAACATGCCCCTGTGGGTGAGAATGCCACACAGGACCTGCTTGTTCGTTCCTTAGGACAATTTTCACAGCACAAACTGTCTCAACATGTGGACGGCTGGTGGGACTCTTTGGCGCTCTCTCTAGGAAGTGCTGTAGTAACCTCTAGACTTAACTATGGATGACAGTAAATCTCCAAGGCTTATGAAAATCTGATTTTTCAAAAAATAAAGTGTGGGCACATACTTTTCAAGATTTCGTCTTGCACATCCACAAACACTCTCTCTCCAATAAACTCATTTGAAAATGTATAACGAATGAACCCCCGTCTCGTTCTTGGAAAAACGGAGTCAGTGTGGATCACGTTTTATTGTACGAATTGTTATTTGCATGCAAAAGTAAATAGAATATGTTCACTGATGGACCACCTGGGGGAGGGGAATTAGGGGAGAATCAGTTCCTGGAATATAAACAAGAAATAGGCAGACTGACTCTTGGTATTGAGACAAGGAGCTTTTTTCCAAAGGTCTGTGTAAGTTAGAAGGCAGATGACTCCACCCTGCTCCAAAAACACCACAGAACACCCACGCTTACCTGTGAGAACAGAACTGAGGAGAAGCTTCCAGGCTGAGCCAACAGACATCTTTCTACCATCCCACATTCCTCCTGAGGCCTCGTCAGTGGACCGACCCCTGCTTTTCCCAGAAGCCTTAGGATAGAACATGCCCCTGTGGGTGAGAATGCCACACAGGACCTGCTTGTTCGTTCCTTAGGACAATTTTCACAGCACAAACTGTCTCAACATGTGGACGGCTGGTGGGACTCTTTGGCGCTCTCTCTAGGAAGTGCTGTAGTAACCTCTAGACTTAACTATGGATGACAGTAAATCTCCAAGGCTTATGAAAATCTGATTTTTCAAAAATAAAGTTTGGGCACATATTTTTCAAGATTTCTTCTTGCACATCCACAAACACTATCTCTGCAATAAACTCATTTGAAAATGGATAATGAATGAACCCCCGTCTCGTTCTTGGAAAAACAGAAGGCATCAGAAAAGGTGAAGATGTGGGCCATGGTGTCAGCGTTGTAGAAAGAGACCTGTCCCCCTTCGTAATCCAGGTAGACCCCCACTTTCAGAGGTTTGGTCTTGAGGGCCAGCTGCTTAGAGGGAGAATCAAGCGCCTTGTATTCACTGCCATTCCGCAGCCAGATGGCCCAGAATCCATTGCTGGGCTTGACCGTCACTTTGGCTTCCTTCCTGTTGACCGATTCCTTGGCCACACCAATGTCCCAGCTGGTTTTGTTGCCCACTCCCACTTCCCAGTAATGGCGCCCTGACGTAAAACCCTGCGCACCCAGCACGCATACAGACTTGCTGAACCTCTCGGGCCCGTCGGGAACTTCCTCCTCCAGGTTTTCGACCAAATGTACAGCGTCGAGGTCCTTGGAGAGCACCAGGTTAGGATGGTTGGTGGCAGGGTCCAATGTTACACGGCACGGAGCTGGGGGGGATAAGACAGTCATGGAGATTACCTGTCTTGGCCAAATTTTGAAAACCCAAAAAGAAGAGACAACGAGCTGTCTACATTCGAACGTGCAAACCAATCCCAAACCAGTTTTGGAACCGTGGTTCCTAACAAAGCAACTTTGGGACTGTAGTTCTTAGGGTTGCCAACTCTGGGTTGGGAAATTCATGGAGATTTGGGGGTGCAGAGAAGGGAGAGCAGAGTTTGGGGAGGAGAGAGACTTCAGTGGAATAAAATGCCATAGATTACACCCTGCAAAGCAGCTATTTTCTCCAGGGGAACTCATCTCTGTCACCTGGAGATCGATGCCCCACCAGCCCTAGCAGTTCTACCCCTCATATGCACCTCTAAATGACAATTTCCAGGGTTCTTTGGGGGAGTAAGGCAACAGAGCATGTGGGTTGGAATGGTTACCTTCAAAGAAGAGAGAAGAGGCCCTCAGCTAACCAGCAGCATACTTCTTCTTGAGGGAAATATCCCATGAGGCCTTGCACTTGGCAACATAGGTCAAGTCACTGGAAAGTTAGCTGGCCAAGTGCTTTGCAGGCTTTTAACAACTAGCTTGCAGAAGGCCTGGACTGCGGTGGCAAAGTACAATGCTTCCATCGAGCAAGCTCAGCTGTGTTAGAGCTTTCAATTCCAATCACAACCTATAGAATAACACCAGCAACGCAGACCCCAAAGATGAGGAATTAAAGCACAGAACAGAAGGCAGCTTTTTAAAGCCTCAGAGCAGGAAGTGGCAGGGTTGCCAGGTCCCCTGGTACATGGGAGATCTCCAATTTCCTGCACTCCCCCCCCTCCCGGTGCCAGCCAGCTGGCCAGTGGGGGAGAATAACCCCCCCCCCAAAAAAAAACCAAGCAAGAAGCTGGAAGTAAATGCGACATGTCTACGTCAACTGGAAGTGATGCGGGTATATCAGTGATATTGGGGGGGCAACAGTCTGGTTATGGGGCAAAACTCTATGGTAGAATTAGCTTCAAACCATAGAGTTTTGTCCAAAAGCCAGAATGTCCCCCCCCCACCCGATGTCACCGACATGCCTTCATCACTTCCAGGTGATGTAGGCACATGGCATTTATTTCCTGCTCCCCTGTGACATAGGCACATCACATTTTCCAGCTCCAGGTAAGTTCCCCCCCATCTCCCCAGGGACGAGCCCCAGGGATCTGGCAACCCTAGGGAGAGGTCTCTTGCTCCTGGTGGCAGACTTAGCTGGTGCCATCCCGATCAAACTTTCAACACCAAACTGTGGAGCCTGTAAATTCTGACTATCCCCGTACTCACCAGGTCTCAAAGCCGGAAGCATCTCTCGCCACACCGTGTACTGAATGGGGCCTTTAAACTGGCCCAGGCTGAAATCCCGGAAGACCACCGGCAACACGGACCCTTTCTCTTCACTGGGGCAATACCTAAAATAAAGATGCAAGAAGTGGAACCACTGTCAGCAAGCTGCCAATGTTCATTATATGTTCCCTGATGTTCTGTACATGTTTCTATATAGGCATTCATATGTCTGCATTCATATGTCTGCAATTCCCCCCCCCAAGTAGGTCAACTCTTCACTTGTATACGCTTGCGCATATATTCATTGTACTTGCACTCCAGTTAAGCTAGACTATGCTGTAACGTTATCTTTTTCCAAGGTCACAGGTGGTTTAGAGACGGTCTTTCATTCTCCTTGCTTTGGCTTTAAATGAGTAGAATCGGTGAGAAGCGTTTTGTTTTGATAAAGGACTCGCCGTTGCTTTCCCAGGAGTTTAAGCGCGAAAACCTGCTCTCAGAGAGCGAGCGGGAATCCTGATTATTGGCTGTTGCAATTATGAATCTGCTTTAACCTTTGTGGCTCATGGTGTGTGCGTTATTCTGAACAGAGAACCTGTTCAGTGACTCATGGCTTCAATAAAGTACCCTTTCCTATAAATGTTACTCCTTTGATTGTCGTGGGACCTGACAACCACAGAGTTTGAAGAAGGGACAAATTTGGTGGGGGGAAAACAATCCTCATCACCCTCTAGTAGCCAATGGGGGAAGTACTACGAGTTTATTATGTCAAAGCAGCCCGAAGTACATGGGCTAATGGATTTATAAATGACATTTCTGCATGGAGCAAGGATCCTAAAATGAATAAATAACTGTATTCTTTTAAGCCAGACAGGAGGAAAAGCAGTTAGGAAGGAGCATCATGGGTAAATTGTCTCGAGAATGAGGCTCTAGTCAGTGGGGGGAAATTGTCACAGCAAAATTAATGGGCGGGGGGTGAGTGTTACAGCTCAGGGGAAGAACCCATGCTTTGAACAGACTGTCCCAGGCTAGAAGCCCTCCCCCATACTCACCACTGACTCTTCACCAGCCAGAGAACCACCAAAGTTCCCCAGAAAAGGATCTCAGCTGGGTCTCCTCTTTCCACCCCATTCCAGACCTCAGTCCAATCACCATGCCATGTTAAATCACATGACTCGCCCAGCTCCATAGGTGACCGGGCCCCAGACGTCTGTTCCCCTAGTCTCCCCTCTTGGCACCCCAACCCACAGCCTGTCTACCTTCCCCCAAGGGCTCTTCTTCACACCACTGAGGCCCCTGATGAGGTTCAGCGAGACAGTAGATGGGTGAGAGACAGAAAGATGGGGTGGGGAAAGAGATCTCAAGATCTTACTCACTTTTCCACGAAAGCTTTGATGTTCTGTGGAAAGGGAAAAAACCCAGGAATTAGCAGAGGAATGTCAGTTGTTAAGCCTAATTTTCGGAAACCGTTAGGTGGCGAAAGCGGGGAACCAGGAGTCTCTCAACGGTACATAGGAGACTTCCAGACAATACAACCTCCTCCTGCACATCTGTAGAGATAATCATTTCAGCACAGGCAGAACAGCAGAGATAGGAATGCAATAGCAATTACCAAGACACAGAATGAACTCCCCAACCCCCCTGGCAGCATAGCTGACACAGCCTAAAACAACAATTGACTTCTTTTGGCCATATCCTCTCATAGCAGAGCTAGTGGTGGTCAGATGATGAACTTGCAGGGGTCATTTCCTGCAGGAGGGGAGGGGCCTCAGCATGGTCCAATGTCACAGAGTCCACCCTTCAAAGCAGCCACTTTCCCCAGGGGAGCCTATCTCTGTCAGGGGAGCCTATTGCGGCTCCAGATCATATTCAGGGTGGAAAGGCTTGGGCAGCCCACTGCCCCGTTCAAATTGACCACTCACACACAGTTTCTTTGGATATTAGGTGGATAAAATTGGCCACAACCAGGGCTATTTTTGGGCAGGAACGCACAGGAACGGAGTTCCGGCTGGCTTCCAAGTTGGCCACACCCAGCAGGAACTCATTAGCATAATAGGCCACACCCAACAGCAGAAACTCATTAGGATTGGCTACATTAGGGGTGTGTGGCCTAACATGCAAAGGAGTCCCTGCTACAAAAAAGCCCTGGGTTTTGACAACAAACAAGGCAAACAGAATAAGAAGCAAAAGGTGGGTGTGGCTGGATGACCACACTTCTGGTAACATGGGGTGTGGCCTAATATGCCAATGAGTTGTGATGTCAGGGGTGTGGCCTAATATGCTAATATGTTTTTGCTGTTGGGTGTGGCCTATTATGCTAATGAGTTCCTGTTGGGCTTTTTCTACAAAAAGAGCCCTGGCCACAACTTTATTGATTACAGCTGTTATAGGCACTGGCGCAGCACGGGTCCACTGGATCCCGGTCCCTGATGGTCGGGTGGTGATGGCGACTGGCTTAATCTACTCCAAAACTGCCCCCCCTTCCGACCGCCTTGCTGCCTGGCTATTGGCTGGGAGAGGGAGGGGAGGCGCCTAGCTTCCCGCCACTCGCCCGGCCCCTCCCCACCTTGACCCAGTGACTGGCCAGCCTCTCCTCCCTTCGTCCAGCCCCGCAAATGGCGGGCCTCATCTACCCGGGCCCTTCCTGCTCTCTGGAGATCAGCTGTAAAAGCGGGAGATCTCCAGGCCCCACCTGGAGGCTGGCAACCCTATCTGAATCAGAGCCTTGGTACATCAAGGTCAGCATTGTCTAGTCAGGCTCGCCAGTGTTTCAGTCAGTGGTCTTTCACATCATCTACGTTTAAACTGGAGAGGCCAGGGTTGACCCCGGGACCTTCTGCATGCCAAGGAGATGCTCGACCTGAGCCGGAGCCCTTCCACAACTGATAAAGACTATTCCGGACATCCAGCAACCCTCCCCTCTGAAGTGTTCACAGCTTCCTATCACATGGCACCATCTGTGGATCTGATCGGCGTGCTTTCCCACGCCAATTCCTTTGGGAAGAAAGTACACAACACTATGCTCAAGCCACTGCTCTGCCATGATGGGCCCTTCACCAGTTAACAACAAGCAAACAGAAGCAAATGTCCAGGACTTAAAAGTCCTCTGGCTGCAGAAATCGAAAGGCCTTGAGACAGGAGGTCCTCCAAGCAATCCCCCTGCCAGGACTATTTTTGGGCAGGAACACACAGGAACGGAGTTCCGGCTGGCTCCCGAGTTGGCCACGCCCAGCAGGAACTCATTAGCATAATAGGCCACACCCAACAGCAGAAACTCATGAGGATTGGATACATTAGGGGTGTGTGGCCTAACATGCAAAGGAGTTCCTGCTACAAGAAAAGGCCCTGGGTTTTGACAACAAACAAGGTAAACAGAATAAGAAGCAAAAGGTGGGTGTGGCTGGATGACCACACTTCTGGTAACATGGGGGTGCGGCCTAATGTGCTAATGAGCTGTGCTGTCAGGGGTGTGGCCTATTATGCTATTGAGTTCCTGCTGGGCTTTTTCTACAAAAAGAGCCCTGCCTGACCATAGCTCATGCTCAGAGACTGAAGGGAAGCCTGCACAGATCCGTGGAGAGGCGCACCAACCTTAAGGAACATCTCAGGATCTTGCTGCTCCTCCAGCTGAGCTTGGATCTTGGCCACCTGCTCCTCCGCCACACGGACTTGCTCTTGCCCGTTGCGCTGGTTGGTCTCCAACTCGCTGAGGAGCGACTCCTCCTCCCGCCGAATCTCCCTCCTCAGGGCCGCCTCCTTCTCCTGGAGCCACTGGTGGAGCTCGAGGAACTGGGCCGAGAGGTGCTGCTCCAGTCGGAGCCGCTGGGCCTTAGGAGGAGACAGAGGCAAGAAGGGATGAGGGGGCTGATGCACTTGTGGAACTCTGGGAGCACTCTGGGAGCACGTCTCTGTTCTCTTCTTCAGCCACCATGTTGCAAGAATTAAATGGTGGAATGAATAACAGTGGGCCGTACGGAATGGAGGGCTGCCAGCTACAGGCTGGAAAATCCCTGGAGATTTGGGGGAAGTGTCTATTGTGCTTATGTAATTAGCTGCGGTGGCTCAGGTGGTTAAGACGCTGAACTGCAGGCTGTGGAAGGTCAGTAGTTTAGCAGTTTGAGACCCGGGTGCCGCATGACAGAGTGAGCTCCCATCTCTAGTTCCAGCTCCTGCCAACCTAGCAGTTCGAAAACAAGAAATTGCAAGTAGATAAATAGGTACCACTTCGGTGGGAAGGGAACAGCGTTCCGTGCGCCTTGGTGTTTAGTCATGCCGGCCACATGACCACGGAAACATCTTCGGACAGCGCTGGCTCTTCGGCTTTGAAACGGAGATGAGCACCACAACCCTAGAGTCGGATTCGACTGGCTTTCAAGCAAGGGAACCTTTACTTTTTTAATTAGCTAATGCAGCAAAGTTGCACAGTCAGGAAAGTGTAGGATCACATGTGATAAACTCCCTTTGTGTCAGTATACTGCAACGGGAAAAAATATTTTCCAAACAAACCAGAATTGCTGTTGTTATCGCTCTGGGAAAACAGTGATTTGCTGAATACAAAGAAATTATTAATCAACTTTTTGGTGGCAGCAGCCAGATCCTGCATCACCATCAAATGGAAAAATAACTTACCTCCATCAATTTCGCTCTGGCACGATAGGATTTGGCAAGTCTATGTGATGGAATTAATTGTGTACAAAAATGTTCTGACTGAAAATGCTAGGCAAAAAGCTCAGTTCCCAGCAATTTGGCTTCCCTTTCTAGAGTACATGACAACCAGTGGTAAAGTGCCGAAAAACGTTTACCCTTTAGATCTGTTACAATTGTAAGCTGAAGTTATCCGTCTACTCTGCTTGTAAGCTGTAGCTTTTTTTCCCCTCTCTAAACCAACTGTAATGTGCAAAACTATGTATCTTGCAATAAAAACGTTAAATACAAAAAAATAACATGAAAAAATATTTTTATGTAAGCTTATTTACATCCACGTGCACTTTGTAGCAGAAGAAGAAACAGAAGTCGATTCTAAATAACGTGATTCCTTGTTACTGGTGGCCAGCTAGGGCTGCCAAGTCCCCCCGGGGGGCGGAAAACCCCCCGCCCCAGAGGCCCGTTCCCCAACGCCGGGGAATCAGGCCCCGGGGGGAACCCCGCCCCAGCATGCATGTCACAGGGAAGTGACGTTATGACGCCGGGCACGCTGGGGGCGGGGCCATGGCCATACAAGGGAAAACTCTATGGGTTTCCCTTGTATGGTCGTGGCCCCGCCCCCAGTGTGCCCGGCATCATGACGTCACTTCCCTGTGACGTGCATGCGGCACGCGCCGGGATATGGACGGGAGTCCCCCGCCGGCAAGGTGGGTGACACTTGGCAACCCTGTGGCCAGCTAGTCTGGCTGCGCCTATGTGGAAGAATACGATTCTGGGTGTGGTCCTGGCTTGGTTGCCCAGGGGAGATGCGCAGACGCCCCGCCTCCTGCAAGACCAGGAGGGAAAAGGACAAAGGTACAGAAAGAGAAGGAGCAGTCTGAGAGAAGCTTCTAGAAAGAAAGAGAGGCCTGACACAAAGACACAGTCGGGCTCTAGTGCAAAGGAAAATACAGCGCCCCCTGGTGTCCAGGCATGCTGAGCCGCCGTTATTCCAACAGAACCCGGAGAGTATTGGGACTTCAGCAGGGTATAATGCCATGGAGTCCACCCTCCAAAGCAGCCATTTTCTCCAGGGGAACTGATATCTGTGATCAGTCGTAATTCCACGGGACCTCCAAGTCCTAGAAGGAGGTCGGCATACAATGTTCCCTCTAAGCTGTGGAGTCTTGTGAGCAAAAATTCTGCTTTGTGAGTTACTGGCTTCAAAGTTGTGAGCCAGTGATTTGGCTACTGCATAAATCAGTTAGCTCTGGAGCCCTTCTTCCTGAGCCAAGGCAAAAGTGTGTGAGCTGGAGGCTAAAAAATTGTGAGCTAGTTCACACTAACTCAGCTTAGAGGGAACACTGTTCGGCAACCCTAGACTGGAATGCCTGATGGCCAAATGAAAGAGCTGGAGAAAGCCCAAGGCTAAGGCAGACAGACAGACAGAAAGAAGGGCTGGACTCACTGCGATTTCCGGGATCTTCTGGGTGCTCAGCTCTCGCAACGAATTCGCCGCCTGGGCTTTGGATTCCAGCAGGGCCTGAGAAACTGTCAGGATCTCCTGAAGGGAAATACAGACATTGGGTTGGGTTCAACCAGGTGAAAAAGGGAGTCCCTTTTGGCCACCCCTCAAAAAGACTATGCTGAGGATCATGAGACCTTGCACGGCCAGAAGCCTTGTGGGAAGATGGCTCTCGTAAGGGGAAGAACTGAGCAAGACTGAGTGAAAGAGCTGCCTGGATCCCACCTATGGTCTGCATTCACGATAACACATGGAACTGCCTTATACTGAATCAGACTGTCAGTCCATCAAGACCAGGGGTCATTTCGTAGAAAAAGAGGTGCAGGAGCTCATTAGCATAACTCATTAGCATAACTTATTTGCATATGCCACACCCCCTGACATCACCGGACGTGTGTCAGAAGGCAACACCCACCGCTCAGGCTCCACTGGACTGTTTTGGATGGCTAGCTATCGGGGGGGGGGACGTGCAGATCTGTCCTCACAGAGGAGGAAGAGCTTGTACCTGAATAAGACCTGGTCTTAAAGGTGCCACTGGACTGTTTTGGACCGGGGGGCCGGGGGGAGCTCTGCAACTTACCTGGCTGCTTCTTGCTCTGACTGAGGGCTGCCGGGAGCAGGGGGTGGGGCTTGTTGCACGTGCCCGCCCCCTGGGCTCTTTACTGCCGGAGCTCCGCTCCTGTGCGCTCCTGCAGGAAATGACCCCTGATCAAGACTAAGACTAGCAGCAGCTCTCCAAGGTCTCAGGCAGAGGTCTTTCACATCACCTATCACCTGCTCATTGAGCTGGAGATGCCCAGGATTGAACCTAGGACGTTCTGCAGGCCAAGAAGTTGCTCGGCCACTGAGCCACGCCCCCTCCCAAAAGAATGCCTCTGTTATTGGTGATGGGAAGTGCCCCTCAAGTCACAGCCTACTTACGGTGACCCCCAAAGGGATTTCAAGGCAAGAGGCATTCAGAGATGGGTTTGCCGTTGCCTGCGTCTGAGCAGCAGCGCTGGACGTCCTGGGTGGCCTCCCACCCAAGTATATTAACCAGGGCTGACCGTGCTTCGCTTCCAAGATCGGACAAGATGGGACTAGCCCTGCCCATCCAGATCTGCACTTTTCCCTTGCGCGTTCATAGAAGGCTGGCTGGCTCATCTCCATCACCAGCCACCTTCAGCCGAGCACAGCCTTAACCGGAATGCGTAGAGCAACATTGATTAAATTCCAAGTTCTCTTTTATTTACAAAGGCACCATTGCGGCTGCCAACTCCAGTCTGTGAAATTCCTGATGATTTAGGGGTGGTGCCTATGAAGGGCAGCACCTGGAAAGAGTTTGCACCTGTAAGCTATGGTATACCATAGAGTCTGCCCTCTGAAGATGCCCTTCTCTGCTGGGGGAACTAATGTCTGTAGGCCGGAGAGCCGTTGTCATTCCAGGAGAGCTCCAGGCCCCGCCTGGAGCTTGGCAACCCTACATCGTCTTCATCCGCTAAGCCACAGCAATCCAGTGCACAGATACGGCTCGCCCACTTTCTAACTGGAGAGATGTCAATCACATCTCATACCCGTTACGTCCACTGGGACAATCTCTCCCAGTATGAACCTAGATGCCACCTTTGGGCCTTGCAGTTGTCTTCTGGTGTGACCACCCCTGTTTTTCGGGGGTGGTCCTGGCCCTCTGGAATAGGTCACCAGAAGAACTAGCACGGATGGATTCTACAGTAGTCCAGGTTCTACAGGTAGCGTAAGACTGTCTTGTTTTTGATAAGTCTTGTGTGTGTGTGTGTGTGTGTGCGTGTGTGCGTGTGTGCATGTGTGCGTGTGTGTGTGTGTGTGTGTGTGTGTGTGTGTGTGTGTGTGAGAGAGAGAGAGAGAGAGAGAGAGAGAGAGAGAGAGAGAGAGAGAGTCATGGTTAATGTCTGGAGACCCCTAGTGGGGCTTGGACATTTCAGAGAGGTGGCTGACTCTTGCCTGCCTCTGCCTCCCAGCCCTGGTATTCCTCGGAGGTCTCCTGTCCAAGTACTTGCGAGGGTCCACCCTGCTTAGCTTCCAAGATCTGATGAGATCGGGTGTGCCTGGGTTATCTAGGTCAGGGTTTCTTTAGATACGTCTTGTAATGGTCGCTGAGTTGGGAGATGAAATCAGGGCTCTTTTTGTAGAAAAAGCCCAGCAGGAACTCATTAGCATAATAGGCCACACCCAACAGCAGAAACTCATTAGCATATTAGGCCGCACCCAACAGCAGAAACTCATTAGCATATTAGGCCGCACCCCCATGTTACCAGAAGTGTGGTCATCCAGCCACACCCACCTTTTGCTTCTTATTCTGTTCACCTTTTTTGTTGTCAAAACCCAGGGCTTTTTGCATGTTAGGCCACACACCCCTAATGTAGCCAATCCTAATGAGTTTCTGCTGTTGGGTGTGGCCTATTATGCTAATGAGTTCCTGCTGGGCGTGGCCAACGCGGGAGCCAGCCGGAGCTCTGTTCCTGTGCGTTCCTGCCCAAAAATAGCCCTGGAGATGATTATCCCCGTGGGATGGAGCTGTTTGTTGTACATATGCTTGTTACTGTAACCCAATAAAATATTTTGGTTAAAAAAAAAAATCAGAGCTGATGTCACACATCAGTTCTGCATTTGGTTTCCAAGGGTCTGACGTTAAACTATCTGCCACTCACTTGTCAAGGCTTACAACCCACCAGCATCCAGCAGGAAATGCAGGATTAAAATGTTCAAAGAACTCGAAAAGGAAAACCCCAGTGGATCAATAAAGTGTAGCAGACTCCCAGGCACGGGAGCTGAGCGACAAGGCACCTCTTTGGCAATACCTGGGATGACAACACGAGATGATAGTGCACACCCAGCAAAGGTGGCTTGCGAGGAGTTGCGTAATGAAGCCCGAGGCTCATGGATCAGGCCCTCGTTGGGTGAGCAAGCAGCAGGAGCTATATGAGCAATCTTCCCGTTTCAGGGCCCGGGAGGGTAGCGAAAGGAGTGAGCCACGCGTTCAGATTAATCGTGTGGTACGGTGGCTCAAGTGGTTAAGGCGCTGAACTGCAGGCTGTAGAAGGTCGGTAGTTCAGCAGTTCGAGACCCGAGTGTGCCGCATGACAGAGTGAGCTCCCGTCTCTAGTCCCAGCTCCTGCCAACCTAGCAGTTCGAAAGCAAGACATTGCAAGTAGATAAATAGGGACCACTTCAGTGGGAAGGTAGCAGCGTTCCGTGCGCCTTGGTGTTTAGTCATGCCGGCCACATGGCGAGGGAAGCGTCTATGGACGAGGCTGGCTCTTCGGCTTTGAAACGGAGATGAGCACCGCAACCCTAGAGTCGGACTCGACTGGCTTTCGAGCAAGGGAACCTTTACCTTTACAGTCCTCTTGGATCTCACCACAAGGCCAGGATTCACTCCCTGAAACGCTTCCATTATCTGTTTGGTTGTTTCCAGACAAGACCCCTGCCTCTGGAAAACTAACACATTGAGAAGATGCGTTTATTTATTTATATCCTGCTGTTCCCCTTCGTTTCGGATTCAAAACGGCTTTAGAACATCGTTCTCCCCTCTTTCATTTTCTCACAACAGCCCGGTGAGGTAAGCCAGGCTGAGAGCTTGTGACAGGCCCAAGGCCCCCCCAGTGAGCTTTTGTGGAAGAAGGGGGGGGATTCGAACCCAGGTCACCTAGGGTCCTACTCCACTGCTCTGTCCACTACACCACAGTGATACCTGGACTTTTCCCCTCATAATGTTTTGGCATTCTACATGCAGGGACAGTTTTAACTGGGGGGGGGTGAGGGCAGTTTAACATACATTTTAACAGACTGCACTGGCAGTCTGAAGCAATACAACCCAAATTATCCTGTACCACACCATCACCAAAAGGAGTGTCAGATCGTTCAACATAAAACATGCAATTTTCACAACTCTATGCGAGCTTTGGTGTAGTGGTTAAGTGCGAGGACTCTAATCGGGGATAACCGGGTTAGATTCCCCACTCCTCCCCTTGCACCTGCTGGATGACCTTGGGCAAGCCATAGTCTTGGCACAGCTGTTCTTGAAACAGAGCAGTTTTTGCCAAGAGCTCTCTCAGCCCCACCCACCTCACAGGGTGCCTGTTGTGGGGAGGGGAAGGGAAAGGAGTTTGTAAGCCACTCTGAAACTCCTTTGGGTAGTGAAGGGCAGGGCATACATGCAATCTCCTCTTCTTCTTCTCTGCTGAGGTTACTGAGCTGAATTTTTTTTTAACCATAATATTTTATTAGAATTTAAATCAGAACATAACAAATAAATACAGGTTCTCAAACAACATTTTAACAATTTTTCATATATATGTCAGTGTGTATACAGACTTCCAATTTGACTTACTCAAATACTGATAGAAGTTTGCTAGCTTATCAATAACAATGAGTATTGTGCTGCACTAATCGCTTTCCAATCAAAAGACTCAAAGGTTAACTTATCCACAATTGGATACCATTTACCAGTTGGGTTCATTAGTTCACATTCATTTTGGTCATTCGTGTTAAAAATGGAAACGGTTTCTAATAAAAAATATTCCCACACTTTAGATAGCCATAAATTAATTGTCGGAGGATGTTCGTCTTTCCATTTCTTAGCTATAACATTTTTTGCGGCTGTAAAGAGTAGATTTATCAGTTTTCTCTGTTTGTTGGGAATGAGCTGAATTATTTGATTTCAAGGGCAGACTTCAGAGCTTTCCCTTTCTACTGACCTAGAAGACGGAAGTCGATTTACAATGCAGAACGGCGGCCCCTAGTGACAATTTACTGTACTACAGTCAACATTAACAATGACCTCTTGACCAGCTGAATCAACCACCAAGCCCAGCCTGCCCCCTACTGACCTTGTAGTGCTCTACAGCCTCATCCAGAGGAAGGCACTGGTGCCCCCAGTGTTCCGGTTGCAAGGCCCTGGCCAGGCAGCCATCCTCCGTGCAGAAGATGAGGTCCCCCTGCACCTCCTCGCCATTCTCTTCGAGTTCAGCGTCTTCGTCGCTGGCGTGGGCCGAGAGGGACTCCATTGCCTTCTGCGCCAGCTGCCCAAGCAGCCGGTTGGCCGTAAACTTGCCCCCTGGGATCTCGCGGCGGCACTCTGGGCAGGTGGGAAGTGGTGTGTCCTCCCTGCCGTCGTCAGGTATCTCTTCCCAGTAGCGGGTGATACAGACCTGGCAGAAGTTGTGCCCGCATTCCAGGATGACGGGGTCAGAAAAGAGCTCCAGGCAGATGGAACAACTCAGGTCTTCCGCAAAGTCTTCCACTGCAATCGGGGCCGCCATGGAGGAACAATAAGGCCGGGCAACAAGAGGGCACCTTTCGCCTCCAATCCTCTCCCAGTCTGGTTATGTCTAGCCTCCCCTTGCTGTTTTGCAGCCCTTGCTACGTTCAGCATTCCATGGCCTACGCTTCCTCTCCTGTTCTGTGTCTGTCCCTCTGCTACGAGTTGCTGCCCCTTTCTCACTGTGCACGTTTGCCCGTTAGGTTGCCTTAAACCCTCGCTGTTTTGTTCTAGCTTCTCTCAACCACGGCTCCACTACAGTTTAGCCTTCTCGTTTACCTACGTCTTTTTCTTTCTAAACCTCGCCCTCCACAGCGATTACGCCATTCACTCGCTGGGCCTCCGATCCACTCTTCTCCTGTTTCTCTTCCACTGCCTAAGAAGTTCTCTGTCCGCCTGTCGCTCCTCCTGCGAGCCTCTCCGGCACTTATTTTCCAATCAGCCCTACCCGGGCGGCACAAGTCTCAGCACAGCTGCCGAAGAATGTGCCAGATTTGCAGATAAGGAGACTCTCTCGCCGCCAAGCCACGAGTGTCAATCTGAGCCTTTCCGCAATCTCTCCAATACCTCCGTCCCCTTTATTTCCCCACAAAGGCCCTGCCCTTTTCTGCCCGGCCCCATGCCTGCCTCTCCCCTACCTGTGCATCATGTCACCACACTGGCTCCTCCCAAACACCTACATCTCCTAAATACACTCAGAGGCATCCCGTATTCAAGAGCACCCAACCAGTTGTGAGTGATAAGGACTAACAGAAGAGCATTTGTAAGAGGTGGGAAGGTAACAGCGTTCCGTGCGCCTTGGTGTTTAGTCATACCGGCCACATGACCACAGAAACATCTTCGGACAGCGCTGGCTCTTCGGCTTGGAAACGGAGATGAGCACCAAAACCCTAGAGTCAGATTCGACTGGCTTTCGAGCAAGGAAACCTTTACCTTTACCTTAAGGAAGCTCAGAGCTCTCTCCCTCATTCGAGATGGGAAGGGGTTGGCAGTTGGTGATTAGAGGGATTTACATAGGCCGCCTTTGGCTCTTTCCCCAGCTCTGGAAGGAGACCAAGGTCTCCTGATCTGGAGCCAGGAGAGGAAAGCAGTCTGAGAACGTGAAGCTATCTAGGAAGGAGTAGGACTAGAGAAAGGCAGGAAGTCCAGAGATGGGTGGCTCCTAACCCTGACCTGCCATTCCACTGAGAAAAAGGGGTTCATTTATGTATGCCTTTATGGGTTCAAGGAGCTGCGGTGGCTCAAGTGGTTAGGACACTGAACTGCAGGCTGTGGAAGGTCGGTAGTTCAGCAGTTCGAGACCCGAGTGTGCCGCATGACGGAGTGAGCTCCCGTCTCTAGTTCCAGCTCCTGCCAACCTAGCAGTTTGAAAGCAAGAAATTGCAAGTAGATAAATAGGGACCACTTCGGTAACAGCGTTCCGTGCGCCTTGGTGTTTAGTCATGCCGGCCACATGACCACGGAAACGTCTTCGGACAGCGCTGGCTCTTCGGCTTTGAAACGGAGATGAGCACCCGCAACCCTAGAGTCGGATTCAACTGGCTTTCAAGCAAGGGAAACCTTTACCTTTACCTTATGGGTTCAACTGGCTTTTGAGGAAGGGAAACTTTAACCTTATTTATTTAAAGATTTCTTTTGGCTCAAGTCTGACGCCTTCTCCCAGTTTCTATGGCTTTACTTGGAAGATGGTGGGATCCACTCCAGTGTGTCTACACTGGCATTTCCCCCTTCAGTTTGGTGTAGTGGTTAAGTGTGCGGACTCTAATCTGGGAGAATCGGGTTTGATTCCCCACTCCTCCACTTGCACCTGCTGATGTGACCTTGGGTCAGTCACAAGCTCTGGCACAGCTGTCCTTGAAAAAGAGCAGTCTCTGTCAGAGCTCTCTCAGCCCCACCCACCTCCCAGGGTGTCTGTTGTGGGGAGGGGAAGGGAAAGGAGTTTGTAAGCCGCTCTGAGACACCTTTGGGTAGTGAAGGGTGGGGTATGAATCCAGTCTCTTCTCTTCTTCTTCTTCTTCATATGCCCGTGGTATTTTGGTCATTCGCTAGCACATAGCTGGCCTAGATTTGTCCACGACACAATGAATTATAAACATGGTGGCAGCCACATTGTTGATGCCTAAGCATTCTCACAAGAGACAAGAAAGCAGCTGAAAACCAACAGCCACCTGGGAATAAAGAGTATAAATAGTTTGGTGAGAATCCGCCTAGGAGAAACAGCAGCCTCGCATCTTGAATTCTGACCTGATTTCTGGGATGGGAGTGAAGGTTGGTGTGTTGAAGCACAAGAGCTAGGCTGAGAGAGACCAAGAAGAAGAGATTGGATGTATAACCCACCCTTCACTACCAGGAGGAGTCTCAGAGTGGCTTACAATCCCCTTCCCCTCCCCACAACAGACACCCTGTGAGGTAGGTGGGACTGAGAGAGCTCTCCTGAGAACTGCCCTTGAGACAACAGCTCTGAAAGAACTTGTAACTGACCCAAGGTCACCCCAGCAGCTGCACGTGGAGGAGTGGGGAATCAAACCTGGTTCTCCGAGATGAGAGTCCACTCTCCTGACCACTACCCCAAACAAGAAACGGTGCCGGTGTCAGCAGCTGCGGGCAAGGTAGGGTAGATGCAGAGGCCCGACTATCCTCTGAAACCACACTATTTCTTTTCTCACAGTTGCAAAATTCCCACCAGGGTAAAGGGGAGAATGTCAACTTCACTACTTTATGGTGATGGATTACTTGAGAAAGTGAAGATTCTGCTCCGCTCTCACAAAGGCAGGCAAATTTGCCCCCTCTCATCATACACACTCGCCTAATAGCAAACCAGCGACCGTCAAGGAGAATTTTTTTGAAATGTCTGCATGTCACAGGCACAACGTGAAAAGGTCTTACAAGCATTATGTAGGACGTGGTGATAGAAAAGCATGGATTGTTGGTGTCTAATTTCTGCGGATGCCTGACCTGGATGGCCCAGGCTAGCCTGATCTTGTCAGATCGCAGAAGCTAAGCAGGGTCGGGCCTGATCAGTGCTTAGATGGGAGACCCAGAAGGAAGTTCAGGATTGTGAGGCAGAGGCAGGCCATGGCCAACCACCCTCTGAACGTCTCTTGCCTTGGAAGTCCCACTAGGGGTTGCCGTAAATCAGATGTGACTTGACTGCAGTATTTGTGGCCAGTGGTAATGGTGCCAATGGAGTGCAAGCCATTATTCTAGAGGGAGGAATCCTCAAGCCTCCTTTGCCCCTTGCTTTCCCCACTACTGGAATCTTGTGTTGGTGTATGCTGTAGACCATTCTGGCTGGGCAAGGGAGGGAGGGAGGAAATATTACATCACATTTATTTGTTTGTTTTCTGGAGCAACAAAATAATGTTGGGGAGTGGCCTTACAGAATTTGCCCCAAATAACTCAGAAACGTCTGCCTTGGACATGCCGGAGCGCTCGCCCAGTTACCAACAAATCGATTTTGAAGCAGATACCACAACTAGTTGTTGCATAAAAGGAGGTTTCACATGGTGCGCACACCCTCTATCATGATGGGTACACACAGACAAAACATATATTTAAACATCTTCGTATCCAGGTAGGGCCCTTGTGGTGGTGAACCATTTGTCAGTTGATCTTGGACCAATCAGTCTCAAGCCAACCCACCTCACAGGGTTGTTGTGGCTGTAAACACAGCGGGTACCATCTATACTCCTCAGTCGCTTGGAAGGACAGGATGAAAACGTTACAGATGGAAATGTAACAGAAATGACATCACTATCTCTCGGACTGGAAATATCAGCTCTTTGCCTCTGGAAGATTAATACCCTTGAAAATTTACCTTAAGGAACAGTTTCCTTAAACACAAACCTCACGCCTTGTCAATATATCAAATTTCTCTTTTTTCTTTTCTTTCTTAAAAGTTCAGGGGCTTTCATAAGAAGGAATACTGTCAGAGTATGTCGCAGAAATATATCATGAGCTAATTCAAGTTGAGAAACTTCACCTGAAGCACCCTCCTTTCCCTCTATTTTTTACCTCTCAGATGTTTCATAAATTCTGGGCAAGAATGATTTTACAGCTTCATGGGTTTTCTCCCTGATGTATCATGACTCACCCTTTAAAAGGACATCTCCCTCGTTAAGTTAACAGGCTCCTTTTGTTACGAATTAGTGGACTGTGAATTAGTAGATTATTCTTCCTATCTTGCATCAACTCCAAGCTTCCATTTACCTGGCCCGTCTAGGAATCAATGCTGTTGACTCAGGAGATGAATCACCCACCCAGGAAGTGTGCCAAAAGTGACTCACTGCATGTCATGGACAGTGGTTCCTGTGGGTCAATGCATTTCTGCTCCTCCTACATATAGGGATGCCCACTATAGGGGGTTGAAAGATCCAGAAAACTCTGTGTCACCGCTTAGCTAAGGACTCTCTCTCCTCCTCCATCCACACCGCTTCAATTGTGCAATGCTCCCACACCCCGGGATTCAGTTGTGTAACACTGAAAGATCCTTGGCATCCGCACAGAAATAACTCTGCACAGAGAAAGGATAACAAATTGCAGACGTCTTGTGGACATTTCTCGGGGAGAAACGTCAACGTAAAACCCGTGACCAGAGAAATCTAGTCAGTGCTTGTTCGTTTGGTTCCCTTCTTTGTTTCTGTAACACGGCAGCCTTTGCTAATTTGGTCCTCTTAAGCAAAATGCTTTTATTAATCACCGTAAGATTAATTTTAAAAAACCCTTTTGCTTAAGTTTGGTGTAGTGGTTAAGTGCGCGGACTCTAATCTGGGAGAATCAGGTTTGATTCCCCACTCCTCCACTTGCACCTGGCTGGATGACCTTGGGCAAGCCATGGTTCTGATAAGAGCTGTTCTTGAAAAAGAGCAGTTTCTGTCAAGAGCTCTCTCAGCCCCGCCTACCTCACAGGGTGCCTGTTGTGGAGAGGGGAAGGGAAAGGAGTTTGTAAGCCGCTCTAAGACCTTTGGGTAGTGAAGGGTGGGGTATAAATCCAATCACTTCTTCTTTTTCTTAAAGCATCAACCAAAGCCTGCAAAAGAAGCCCC